CCGCGCGCCCCGCAGCCCCCCGCGCACCGCGGCCAGCGCCTCCGGCAGCGCCTCGGCCAGCGCTGCCTCTGCGCAGCACGGGGGGCACCCAGCGCCTCTGCTGAGGAGGGGCTGCCCAGGAGGCTCCCCCGGCACCTCACTGCCCGTCTCTGCTCCCCGGGGCCGCTGCTGCCTGCGCACGCACAGCGTCGCCATCACGGCCTCGTGGTCCGAGTAGGGGATGTCCCGGCCCGGCGCTGTCCCTGTCGTGGTCCACAGCTCCTTGCATGTCACAGCAACGTTGGACACAGCCTGGACGAAGGGGAGGGAAGGGATGGGGATGGTTCAGCCACAGCCTCCTCCTCCCTGGAAATACAGCCTGGCGCGGAGAGTCAGGGGGATGCAGGGACCAGGAGCACATCCTTTCATGGATGAAATAGGAGGGATGCAGGGACTGGGAGCGCATCCTTCCCCATCTGGAGCCAGCCCTCACCTTGTAGAGGATGTAGTCGATGCGGATCCCCAGGGGGAAGGGTCGCAGCTCTGTCTTGACAGTGAAGCAGTTGCTCGGGACAAGGGTACAGCCGTCTTTGCAGCCCTGAGACCACAAAACAGGTCTCTGCAGCTCAACCCGCCTGGCCGTGCAGCAGAGTCGGTGCTGGAGCTGGAGCGGGAGGCGTCAGGACGCGGGGACGCTGCTCACCTCGAAGCGCTCGGCCTCGGCGAAGGCGTCGCGCAGCCCCGTGCAGCCGCGCAGCAGCCGCATGCCCAGGTCCTGCGGCTGCGTGTTCAGGTCACCCCCCAGCAGCACCACGTCAGCTGCCTGGGACGTGTGTCTGCGGGGACAGCACGGGACCTTGGCCACAGCGACGCCACCAAAGCGGCACCCGCAGCGGGTGCCCCTGGTGCAACCCCCTCGGGGCCACCRCGGGGCCGCTCACCGGATGAACTGTGCCAGCTCCCAGGTCTGCACGAGGCGGTGCGGCAGGTAGGTGTCCTTGTCCCGGCAGTACTCGGCATGCAGCTGGAGAGGGGACGGAGCAGCCCTCACCCCCTCCTTACTGCTCGCTGTCCCCCTGCAGCCACTCAGGACATCTCCTCGGGSCCATTCCCAACCTTTCTGCCTCCATCCAACCCCAAATCCCAGTTCTGAGAGGCAGAGAGCACCTCCCATCCAGGTCCCATTCCCTTTCCATGCTTACTCCTTCCCAGGTCACTCACATGGGTCACGTAGACGTTGAAGACAATCCCGTCAATCTGCAGGACRACGAGCCCTACGGATTTGCCGCAGAACCAATCTCCATGCCAGAGCTGCCAGGGAGCGAGAAGCGCGGGACRGGGCTGGCGTGATATCCCTGGCTCGAGGACGCAGAGCCACCCGCCCCGCTCACCATGTAGGGGTAGCCGTTCAGCGAGTACTGGTGGAGGAAAGTGTCCAGGATGGGGAACTTGGAGAAGACGCAGAGGCCGCTGCCGATCACCCCGCTGCAGGACGGAGAGGCGCCATGAGCGGGCGCCCCAGCTGCACCGTCCTCCGGCCCCGAGCAAAGGGCAGCAGGAGCCCGGACACCTGGGTCCCAGCACCAGCTCTAGCACCACTTGGAGCTCCTGAGCATCAGGGTCTCCAGGTAGTGTCCATGATGGATGGGGAACGTAGGACCATGCCCGAGGTGACCCAAAGGAGTTTTCCTGGCTTCCAGGTCATCGTCACGGCATCCCCACGCCCAGGACACRGCCTCTCTCACCTCCTGAAGTAGTGGGAGAAGGGGCAGCACTTCCCCAGCTTCTCCTGGAGGAGCGCGTAGTCCTGCTCGCTCCAGACCTGGAGGAGCGCAAGGCGGGTTGGGATGAGGGGTGCCCRGCGCGCGCCCGGGCCCCGTGCCACCCTTACCTCCTGCAGCAGCACCAGGTCGAAGGGCTCCCGGCGCAGGGTGTCCCCGAGCAGCCGCACGCGCTCCTGCCGACGCTTACTCAGGTAGCGGATGCCCCTGTGGGAAACGGGGTAGCCAGAGCCGAGAACGTCCCCCGGGTTTGGGCACCCAGGTGTGAGAATCCGCACCCATCCYGGCCGCTGCAGCACCTGCGAACCCTGCGCTCACCAGCAGTTGAGATTGAAGACGCGGAGCTGCAGCACAGGATCATCTGCCATGGCGTCACGCGGAGCCCCCTCTCCGCTGGGAGCAGCTGCAGGAGATCCCGCAGGAACGGGCTGCGCTGGGGGCAGCTGGACACTCGCTCCGGCTGGGATAATCCTGCCTCCCTCGGCTCCAGCTCTCTGCAGGGCACCCTGCTGGGGATTCCCTGCTGGCTAATACCGGGCTTGAGCTCTTGCCACAGGCGGTTTCTCGTAGGGTCTCTTCTTCTCTCGTCTCCGTTTTATTTTTGCCCCCAAGAAAGTTGCAGGAATTTCGCCTTCCTGAGGGTCGCGCTCTGTGTCCAAGCTCCGGGGAACCTGGAGCCACTTTCCGCAAGCAACTGGTGAACGCGGCTGCGACAGCAGCACCCGGGCTGCGGAAGCGACAGGCGGCCGGAGCAACAGGCGGAGCGGAGCAACAGGCGGCCGGAGCAACAGGCGGGGCCGGTCAACAGGCGGAGCGAAGGAACAGGCGGAGCGGGGCCGGCAGCGGCGGGACTACGAGCCCCGGCAGGCAGCGCTGCGGCTGGCAAGGGAAGGACCGGGACGGGACGGGAGCGGAGGCGGAGCGCGGGATGAGGGGAGGGACGGAGTGCGACGGGAAGAGGGAGAAGGAGCCATGAGGAAAGGGATGGGGGCAATGGAGAGGGGGACGGGTGCAATGGGGAGCGGGACAAGGAGCAATGAGGAGAGGGACAGGAGGCAATGGGGAGAGCGACAGGATGCAGTGGGAAGAGGGACAGGAGGCAATGGGGAGGGGACAGGAGGCAGTGGGGAGGGGACAGGAGGCAGTGGGAAGAGGGACAGGAGGCAATGGGGAGGGGACAGGAGGCAATGGGGAGGGGACAGGAGGC